AAGTATCAGATCAAGACGGGCTCCCTTGCTAAGGGCGGCGAGTATACTCTGGCGTTGACGAGCGTCCAAGACAAGAGAGCGTGCCGTAACTTTGTGCAGGATGAGGTCAAGATCTCAGTGCGCCGCCAGAACCCAAGAGCAGCGTTTGGTCTTATCGATGCCAAACGCAGGACGATGGCAGTTGAGGGCTCGACGGTCAAGCTGCCGCTTCGCCTCACTGGAGAGGGCCCATGGAAGGTTTTCTACAGCAATGTCAATGACACCTCGAGAAACGCCCCCCGGGTCCTGGAAAAGACGATCAAGCACGACAATGATTTCCTTGATGTTCGCACCAAGGGTATCTTCCAGATCACAGATGTCTGGGATCGACAATGCCACGGCATTGTTGATCCGAAGGCATCGTCTTTTGAAGTCGACTGGTTCCCTCGTCCAGAGCTCGCCGTTGTACAGTCTGCGCACGTTCAGCCAGATGGCACCAACAGCTTTGTTGTGAGCGATGTCTGTGAGGGTGACGTATCTGGATTTCAAGTTGCACTCAAAGGTAGATCTACTATCAGCCGCCCCATCAGGCACATTCCTTGGTTTCCCCACAGCCTGCTAATGTCTACATAGGAACGCCTCCCTTCCATGTCGAATACCAGATTCGCCATCAACCTGCGTCTGGGCCAGCCTCTATCAGTAGGAAAGATTTTGAAGCTGCCCTCGGCAAAGCTTCCGTCCCTGCAGACACCTCCAGGGCGGGCCAGTACACGTACACGTTCAACTCACTTTCGGATAACCTCTACACTAATGACCGGACTTTCAAGCCCGTAACTGTTAAGCAGAAGGTCAATCAAAAACCCACTGCCGCCTTCGCCAAGCCCGGTCAAACCTTCAAGTACTGCAAGACGGACCAAGGCGAATCCGAGTCGATTCCCATCACTCTCAACGGCATCCCTCCTTTCAACCTCGAGTTCGAAATCAGACATCAAAGCAGCCCGATTCCGGAAGTGTACCGTACGCCTGCAATCAACTCCAACTCGTACGAGATCCAGATCCCGCGTCACCAGCTGCGCCTTGGAACCCAAACGATTCGCATTCGCAGCGTTCGCGACGGCAGCGGCTGCCACTCGATTTCCGATTACACATCTGCCCACAGGGATACTCCCGATGGCAAGGCCCACTCGGTCCAAATCCAGCTCTTTGAGGCGCCCACCATTTATCCTCTCGAGACTCGCACCGACTACTGCGTCGGCGAACGTCTCGGGTACTCCCTCGCTGGTGCCGCTCCCTTCGAGGTTTGGTATACCTTCAACGGGGAGGAGTCGAGGGCCAAATCTCCCACCACGACTTTCCGCCGTATCGCCGAGCACCCCGGTGAGTTCACGATTACCTCGGTTAGTGACAGGGCATCCGAGTGCCGCGCTCCTGTCAACATCTCCAAGACCATTCACCCTCTCCCCGCGGCCCGTATTTCCAAGGGTAAGCAGGTGCAGACGGACATCCACGAGGGTGGCGAGGTCGAGATTCTTTTCGAGTTCTACGGAACCCCTCCGTTCGAGTTCACGTATACTCGCAGCACCAACCCCAAGAAGAAGGGTGAGCGTGCGACGGTGTTGGAGACCAAGCACGATATCAGCGAAGAGTATAGCAAGGTCATCAAGGCCAGCCAGGAAGGTGCATACGAGGTCGTGGCTATCAAGGATCGGTTCTGCGCGTTTTCGACGCAGATGCTTGGGGTGGAATATGTGGAGGGTAAGGATGGGCGGTTGCTGAAGTACCAATGATCACCTTCTTTGTGAAAATCAGAAGACAAGAAGGAGTAAGGAATGGAAGATGGCAAGAAGCGAAAAGGGGTCGGACATGAAGGGAGGAAGGCGGAGGAAAGAGAATCATGCAGGGAGTCTCAGAGAAACAACCGAAATGAAGAGTGAACACATGCTGGGTGGCACGGTATGCTCTGGTCGGCTGGCCATGGCCGCGCATGGCATGAAGTGGGCTGTTGAACAGCCGAAGGAAACAAATCAAAAAAATTAACAATGGAAAAGAAGATGAGAGAGATCGGGTTCTAGGGATGGAGGTCTGGTTTTCGTGTTTTCGTTTTTCTCTTTTTTTTTTTTGTAACGAATCACTACCACTACTCTACATCCACTTATGTGTTTTTCTGTAGACTAAGAACATAGCATGGCGTTTTCTGTCTTTATGGGGAACGAACAATTACCACAGCTCACGAAAATGAACGGAATAGGATATGATAGGAAGGCAGAAGAAAGGGCGGGCGGCAAAGAAAAGGATCAATGAAAGGACTTGAAATCATGCTGAATCAGGGTTTCTGTTTCCGTGCGTCCGTTCCTTGAAAACGAACAAGAGTGTTGCAGTATTTCAAAGAGCTTGACTTGCCGCACCGTCCCTAATGTCCTCATGCACCCTTTTCAGCTGTTATAATTACAAGTCGTTTTTACGTATAACTTACTGTATTCTCAATGTTTCAGGCTATTATACTGCGCTTAGTTATTAGGGTATAAAAGTAATCGAATATAGTTAATTGTAAAGTATAAGCGCTTCGCTATTGGTTGTCTAAATAAATATAATCGATATGGGGGGTGTAAAAGTGGTTGTATAGCGATGTTTCTGTGTAGAAATGTAGCCTTAACTGTGCGGCGCATATTGAAAGCGTCAAGTTTCATTGACACACGATTGGATGTTATATGACATTCTAAAAGTGGGCTTTATTATACAAAGCAGGGAGTTTTACATGTCAGCTGTCATCGGTTGGCATGTGGGGAAAAAAGGGTGCGCGAAGTCAAAATAGGGTGCATGAGCCATGAGGACATCAGGGACGGTGCGGCAAGTTAAGCCAGCCTATCCCATTCAAACTTTGTCCCGTATTCCTTCTCCTCCTGGTATCCATCCATTCATTCATCCCCGGGAGTCTGTGCCTTCTTCGCCCTCTCCCCAGCTTATTTCATTCCGGAAGTCCTGATTAGCCCAGTCACTACCCCCTCTTCCCATCACTAGCACTCTTCGCCCTCTTCGCAGGGCTCAGATCTTCACTCGGTCGATGATGCAGCTTCTTGTTCGCCAGCACATCATCCCTACTCCTACTGCTACTGCTACTACCAATAGTACTCTCCTGCACGCCAAATAATAACGACCTAGCACCGGCTACCGGTGAGGAGCAGCTATTGCTTGCGAGGAGGGTTTGCTTCTTGAGGGAAGATGGTACAGGTACAGACAAGATCGAGATCGGTGTAACCACCGGCACAACAGCACTCTCCAACCTATTCAGCGCCTCGGTGAGTTTTCTCCGAGCTTCGAGCTCTCTGTTGGTACTTGGAGAGCTGGAGAAGGATGAAGGAGAAGGAGGAGAGGAGCAGGTAGTAGTAGAGGGGGAAGGTGACGATCGAGGTCGATAGAACTCTTTGACAATGCAGAGCGCTGCGTGGTAGACTTGGTATAGGAGGAGGCGAATGCCGGCATTGGGGAGGTCTTCGATCAGCGAGGAGATTATATCGTTGTCGCTGTTGCTGCTGGCATCTGTTGGTGGCGGAAGGCTGGATATTGTTGGTGCAGGTGCACGAGTAGTGGTGGTTTGTTCGGTGATGGCTGTGATGGACATGACTCCTGTGCTGGTGCTGTGGGTGCTGGCACCTGTGTTTCTACTGCTGCACCCGAGATGGTTCGCATGGGTAGAGGCAGGACCGGTTTCGAAACCTTCCATGAAGGATTCCGAGACGCCGTCGCTGAAGATGGTAGCTAATAGTGGATCGCCAAAGACGCAGTTACTCCAATCTTGAAGGCCGGTAAGCGTTAGTCGTCGTTCTGTACCGATGTAGTTGTCTGACGCGGATGATGCTGGTTGTGGTGCTGTCGTGTAGTTGTTATAGCCGTTTGTACTTGTCGTGCTCTCCACGGTGACCAAGGTGTTTGTGTCATCAGCCACGTCAATAACCACTAATCTCGGCGTCTTGACCTCGTTGAGCAAGTGCTCAAACCGCCTGAAATGTCTTCGTATCTGCGAGTAAGCCATTGTGACCGCCATGTCTTCGCCGTCTCTTAGAACACCCTCCAATAACGACTGAAAGGCAGTTGACCAATTCCTTGCTCCGTCGGCTGCCACCAAGCCGCCTTCTCCAAGCCTGGCCACCTTGTCCGAAAGCTCTATTCCTGGCATTTTAGGGACGACGACCGCCACGGGGCCGAACCTGCCCGACGGTGAGGTCATTGACGAGAGGGATCGGTAAAGTTGGCCGAGATGCTTATCCAAACGTTTACGCTCCAAGTGGCTGGGGGGAGAAGGCAACAAGGCAACAGGAATGCCATGTTGATTATTCTCGAAGACGTTGTAGGCTGACCCTAGCTCGACCGGACCGTGACTTGAAGTATGCACGAGGGTCGGGAGGAATCTCCGAAGTGTTGGGCTTGTAAAGCTAGTCAAATGGTTTCTGGCAAGAGCATCCCTGATCCATTGAACTGTTGCCGCTTCGAATCCTATTATGAATTGTTCGTGCCTCAGGCGTCTGAAGAGTACTTGTGGCGGGAGTGAAAGGAGGAGTGTTTTGCCGTCAGAAAGACTGACTTCGAATATCCTTTGTGGTCGAAGGGAAGCGATGGGTCGCAAGCCATCGACCTTTACGTGACTGGGTATGGTCGCGCTGAGGGCAGCCTGTACCGATTGTTTCGACGGTTGTCGACACATAGCAAGACTGTAGGGAAGGATATGTCCTAGGAGTAAGAGGTTGTGAATAGGAAAGATATGATTTGGAAGGTCGACGGAGGGGACGACTTTCAAAAGACAGTGTCATATCTCTCTTGATCCAAGAACATTGCGGCCAAAAGGATCCCTTTAGGACCCTAGCAGCTGGGTGACTACTTGGAGCCTGAGTACTTGTACCCTACCTGTGATGTGTGGAGATGTACATAGAGACTGGAGGGTACTGTGGTACTTTGAGGCTTGTTTTAATTGGGAAAGGGGGCGGAAATTTCCGTTCGATGATGGGCATCGACAGAGCTAGCCAAGCATGTTGGATCTCTGTGTACTAAAACTCAGCAACTGGCCGGCAATTGGTATTGTAGATCGAGACGGTATGTGATGATACCCGATGCTGCTAAAGATGGGAGAGGAGTTCAACCGTCGTCTGTTCAGCCTTTTTTTTTTTCCGTTTCAGACCATTGGGTTACAGGTGCTCTGGCACGAGTATCTTGTCAGCGTGCCATCTCTCTTTTTTTTCCTTTTTTTCCTTTTTCTTCTCCTTTGCCTTTTGGTATGATTGACCACCGCGAGGATAGGAACTTGGAGGATGAAGGAAGGAAACAGGCTTCTGTGGGCTTTTAGCTGCCCACTTAGATAAAGGTAGGCGTGAAGCTGAGACAGAATCCGTTTACACATGCTCTTTACGGACAAGACCCATATGTACCCCATATGCCCGTCAGCTCGGTAGCAGGCCAGGATCAGGATGGGTTGGAGAAGTCCTACAGGTACCAGGCCGTTCCGAATAGGGGATGCGGCCCGGACGAGGAAGGACCCAGAATGGACTGCCGGACTGACTAGCAGAGGTCCATTATTCGCTGGACCCTATACCTGGTATCAGACATAGTGTGTAGAGAGGATGGAAATCCCATTCCGCATATCTGTCTTGTGGTGTAAGTCTATGTGTTGTACAGTATGAATACGAGCGTGCTTTGAGGATACCTCTACGGACCATACCGGGCCTCTTGAACTTGAAAGTTTGGTGGCCGTGATAAGTAGTCTAGGTAAACTGGTGGGGGGGCGATCACAACGCCAGTGAGCACTTTAGAGGAGTGCCGGAAGGTGGTGTTTGATAGACGGAGCATCGCCAAGCACAGTTCTGGTGGAGCACTAGTGTTGAAGTGACGAATGAGGCGTTGAGAGTAGCGAGAGCGAAGAGTTTCGGCGCACAAGATCGACGGGAAATGGTTATAAGAAAACCCGGAGTGCCGGAGTGCCTAGACCACCATGGCGTGGGTACGTATATAACACGATGAGATGAGGACGGTGAAAGTCCACTCATATCCGCTCGGGTGCGGCTGACAAGTTGAACGACGCCCTAGAAGCCCAACCCATGGCCAGCTACTTGCTAATATGTATACCTCGACCTTGAAAGCCCTTGGGGATTCCTTGATGGCTGGGCAGGAGAGGCGGCGGATTCGTTGTCGACGCCACCTCGCTATGAGACGTCGTCAACTGGACGATCCGGCACGATACATGTGGCTAAGAGGATGCCAAGGGAGTGAGTAGCAAGCGAAACCACAGGGTCGGGCCGGGACAAAAACGTGGTGGGGGAGAACAAAGAATTCAGCGACCGGTGAGGTGACTGAGTGGTGAGTCGATATCTAGCCCAGTGGGGGGCGGGGATAGGACGGACAGGAGAACGAGAAACGAGCCGGGCAATTGCTGATTGGCCAGCAGCAAGCGAAACACGCCGGATTGGGAAGGGCGGATGGACGAAAGCACGTTACACCAAGCGCGGGCGGGAGGCTTTCTCTACCTACTCTCGCTCATCAGACTCATGCTACGAGCAAAAGCACCTTCCTAAAGTGGTTGTGTGATCTGGGGGATATTGCATGCCAGGGCACCGACCCATGATGCTGCCTCCAGTCAGCCCGCCACGCCTTTGGGTCGCAGACAGTACCAGTAGCATGTCTTGATGTCAGCTTGTTGGAGATACTATCCATCGTAACGATATCGGACATGAACCCCAACATGTCCAGGGCACGTTTGCCGTCAGAAAACGAAACGAAATGCGATGAGCTGGAGGCAGGCCCAATGCCCGTAGGTAGGTAACGCACAAAGCATTGCGTTGCGGCCACTCGTCAATTTTATCTGGAATAGGGCTTAGCGTCCGTCAAACCCCAGGCCCTGCCTGCATTTCACTGTAACTTGCCAACGGACACAACTACAAGCGCTGAAGATCATGGCATCCTGCAGTGTAGCCTCACTTGGTGATGGCATACACACAGTACTTTGTACAGACACCTCCAGACATCGACTTATCATGCAGGTGCCGGGCCCCGGGGAAAGTGTTGCCCTGTGTGTAGTGTACACAGCTTGATTCCATGGCAGCCCGTGGACATGACCGTAGAATTGACAGGCAGGGATTTGACTTCATCCGGCCCCAGATCTCGCTCCAAACCCATTCCAAGGTCCAACTGCCGATACACAAGCCTTTCATACTATACCTACTAGGCACACCCTTTCAAGTTAATCGGATGCTACTGTAAGACACGGTCATGTCACTGCACCGTGCACTACATGTATACTTGGTCGCACACCTCACACTCAGGTTAGAAAAAAAAAGAAAAAAAAAAAAACCAGCCAGACCGACGCGCTGGATAAGAGGCCGCGGTTTTCACCTTGATCGCTACAACTCTCGCTTGTTTTCACCTTCCCGGGCAAAGCATACCTATTGTAGACATCCCTCTCCCATGCTGCATTTCACTAGTGTAGTACTCATGCATCTCGCCAGAAAAACAAGGACCGCTACTTATACGGCAAGTAGGTAGGTACATGCCTACGAAACCAGTCCCCGCCCCGCTCCTGCTGCCTGCCGCCGCCACCACCACCACCACCGAAATGTCTCCGGGGCCGGTCCATGCCTCCATCACTGGCCCCTCTCTTCCGAATCCTCAAGTCTCAAGCAGCGGTAGAACTAAGCAGGCTCCTATTCCTGCTCCTTGGTGTCTTTGGTCTCCTCGTCCTTGACAGGCTCGGACGTCTTCTCATCTTGCTTCTGATCCTGCTGCTGTTTCTTCTTCTTTTGCCCAACCGTCGTGATGCCAGCAGCTTGGTTGTATAGCTCCGTCATGTTGTACTTCTTCAGCTCATCCCAATCACCATCCACAACACTCAGCCCACAGACCGTCTGTGGTTGCCCCGTAAAAAAAAAGTCAGTATTAGCAAGCGGATTCTCCACCATTTAAAGGTACAGTACTTCGAGAGTGAAGTGAAGCAGTGCGCGCGAGGTGTTTGTGGGTCAAGGGGAGGGAATCCCCCAAGACTATAGGCTGTCTTACCTGAAAGATGTCCACCAAAATGACCTTGTCCGGGTTGGTCAAATCAACCCTGTGACGCTCATCGTTGATAAGACCGGCAATGGTGTTGATGACCACGTCGCGCTTCAGGTTACTGTGGTTACGAATGGTGGGCCGGATGGCGTAGGTGTAGGGCTTGTACTCCCTCTTCTTGTTGTCACCCTCCTTGTTTGTCTCTGCCTCCGCACCATCTCCTTCTGTCTTCTCGCTCTTTTTCCCGCTCAAGTCAAAGTGCTCCTCCAAGACCTGCCTAGCCGTTTCGGCCAGGCCCTGCTCCGTCGCCTTGCCCATGACGCTCATGGGCGTCAACCGGTTCAGATAGCGGCACTTGATCTTCCTAATGTCGGTGCACTCCTTGGTGTCGACGACGATCCTCTTGACGAACTCGACCGGCTCGATGGGGTCCTTTGTACGCACAAACAGGAGACAGTCAATGTTGAGCTTCATGGCCTTGAGCAGGGCCCTGTCTTCCTCTTGCTTTTGGACTTCGGCCGTCTTGTTCTCCTTCATTGCGCCGAGTTCCTTGGCAATGGCGGCCTCAATATCTAGGTCCGCATCGTCGTCATCTCCCACTTTGGCTTCTTTGCTGGCAGGCTTGATGCCGTACATGGTTTCAATGTACTCTTCAAAGAGGTTGATGACTTCCCGTGCAGCCTTGTTCTCCTGGTGGCGTGCGCAGGTCACCCAGATGCCGCGGTCGCCGATCTGAGGGATGGAATTGCGCTCGAGAGCGAGCTTATTCGCTTGGTTAGGTGTTGTCCATTTGCCGGCGCCGCCAGTCTGTTCGATTTGGGTGTTAGTCACCATGCAGCCGACTTGTGCAGGAAAAGGAGGAGGGGGGAGAATTGCAGACGTGATAAGTTGCCCAGGCCTTTGATCACGTCCCTGACAACTCCAATAACCAAGTTGAATGGGCGGAAGCACCCATGAGACAACTTGTCAAAGCACCTCAACCGCATGAGAGTCTGAGGATATTTAACTGTGCAATATTTTTGATGCATGTTCAACCAACCCGGAAACAGCTTGAAGAGCATACTTTCTCATCCAAGCTTTCCAAATAGATTCATGGCCAGCGGATCATCCAGGAGCGAATACCTTCTTCTTCTTCTGTTTCTGGCTTCCATCACCGCCGGGGGCGTTCTTTCTCTTGCCCTTGTCACCTCCCATGTTGACTTCAGAATTCTCCTCTGGTGGGATTTTGATGGTGAGTTCGATAGATCTGGAACTAGCGCTCTCTCCACGGTGGACATTAGTCTTTGATATACAAGAGAGAGTGGGATGTATCTGCTTTGTACGCTGACGAGGACTGCAATGGCATTTTTGACAAGCACTGGAGATACATGAGAATATTCTGATGGAAATACCTGTTATTATGAGTATAACACTAAATGACACGGGCGATCGGTGGTCGCATGTGGAAGAGGTACGTCGCGGCGCGTGTTCACATCAAAATTACGATTGAATGAAAGTGAAAAGAATATTTTGTAAGGACGTTTTTTTACCCGTACATACATCCCTGTCAGGTCACGTGGGTCCTTAAACAGCCCCTTTTGTTTTGTCCTCGCACATCACTCAACACTCGCAAGAAGTCCAGTCTTCGATATCAGAGATGTGCAAAACATCTGGCTATGCGAGATTCCTTATGTGGTAGGGGTTTGTGGTTATTCCATTATATTGGATCTATATCCGTGGACTCTCCCGGGGCGCATGTAAAACCATCGCCTCGACATCACAGGCCCCAAATTCCCGGGAAAATCCGTCCAAGTCCTCTCATTCAAACAGTAAGCCACTTTCTTGCAACAACCATGACCTTCTCCTCCTCTTCACGTCTCTCCTCGCTGTTGGCGTCATTGTTCCCTATTCGCTCAGACTTATTCGTGGTCTCATCGTATCGTCCCTCCTTCCCTGCTACACCGGTCGCTTTTGCCAGCAGTTCTTTCTTCTTCAATTCCATAAACTCCATTTGCATCCTCTCTCTTTCCTGTATCGGATTGAGCGAGTATCCAGGCTGGATCGGTGGTGAATTCCTCGCCAAGGAGATAATAGATTGAAAATCTTGTACATTGGGGTATGGTTGGGCCATAAGACCATCGCGGCGGATGAGCATTGACGGGATGCGTACTTGTAGCTGGGATGGGGTGAGAGCGGATCAGTACGAATGTCGGGTTTTTCATGGGCGTAGAAAAAGCAAGCGGGGATGACGGCATCAAATAAACCAAGAACCCAAGATTCCAAACTCACCTGCGCCAGAATATTCGCATACCGGATCCCCAGCTCCTGACCGATGTACCTCAGTCTCCCCCTCACCCACGTCCTCTGATCCTCCGTCAAATAATCCTGCCCCATGACACATGCCAACGGCCACGTTAAAAAGTACCCAGACAGTCCTTTTATCCCATCCTCGTCCTCGCCACATCCAAATCCAGACAACTGTTCCTCTTTTTGTGCATCGACCTCGCCATCCTCCTCCTCCTCCCCCTCCTCCTCATCATCATCATG